GAAAGCGCATGGAAAATATGACCCAAATCAATCACATAGATTGGCTCAATACCTCAAAACCCTCTCTTTTCCACTAGAAAACGCAAAGATGACGTCATTCGCGAAATTTACGGAAACCCTAAACCCTAAATTTTGGGAATTTTGCGAATTTTGGACCGCGCATGTGTTAAATCTACCTTACGAAATATCACAGGTGGGGTCCACCGTCCCACTCTCAGCGAGAATTGAAAGAGAAGAAAAAGAAGAAAGAAAATAAAGGAAACTTATTTGAGAGGAATCTGGATTGGGCAATTTATACGGTTAATATTCCGAATTGTTAGTAGTCCCATCCAGCCGTCCGATATTGTACCGCTGGAGTCAATAGACCGTCCGATTTCCGAGAAGTGACGGGTACGGTTAACGACGCTGCATCACATCCGACGATCATATTTGAGGCGACTGAGTCCGATCCCTCTTCATGCTCGCCCCGCGGCACAGTCTGGGCCGTCGACTCGATCGGATCTTATGTCATGTCTATATCTGATCACTCAAGTGGACTCATCGTACCGATAGGGACAAGTCTTCAATATCGAATATAAGCTAGACACGGCCAGACACCCTGCAGTCGATCGCCGTCGGTCATTATAGCTAGTAATATCATGTGGGTCGAGTCCGCGGGGATACGAGTTGGCATTGCATGTGAGCGGCCATAATAGAGCGCGCTATATATCATTTAGGACATGTTCGAAATTCTGATCATCGATGTTCGAGCTATTGATCGATCGATCATTATTGTTGCATGATTGATCGGATGTGCGCGCGTAGTTTCAATTGAGCTAGTATGTAAGCCAGCCGCGCCGCTGCAGGCCATATGCATGCCATGATGCCAGTGGCACAATTGCTATCGTTGTTAATTATGTAAATCCCATGCAAAAAACCTGGCATGGATTCGAATCTTGCATGACGCACATGTACAAAGTCATGGATATGCATATAAGTTGCATTTGTAACTAGCTCAAAGCCTGAGCCTAGCATTCTATATTCGGTAAGAACAAGCGCGTGCCAGGCCTTCTTACAAAGTACTACTTAAATTGTCAGCATGCTTATAATACATTTGCAAATTGCATGTTTAGTACAAAGTCGCCAGCGTGCAGCCGCCAATGAAGCAATGAACAATACTCTTCCTTGAAAATCCCTGGTTAGTTGACGGATGGCACATGGCATAGCTCTTGATCAGACTGAAGTTATACTTCAAGTTGACTTCTCACGAGAGCTTAGCGGGTGCCAACCGATCACCGTCCCAGCTTCGTCCTGCTTCCAACTCCCAATGCGTTTATTGTGCACACCCTTCCCTGTCCTACAGCTATAAGGTGGCCCAAACTTTGTTGTCCTAGAAAAGTATTATATCAGTGCTGCAAACAAGCTACAAAGAGCTATGTCTATCTCAAAGCAATTCCTATGATAAACGAGCTCAGCTTGTGCCATAGCATACAGGGACTAACTACTATCTGATCTTTGCAATGGCCGCAGGTGAACCCTCGCTAACTTTTGTACAGACTCAACCGTCACAGCCAACGCAAAGCCGTCTGCTGTGACTACCTGCATAGTACGAATGTCCCCTCACTAGACTCCAAATAGCGCGATCTGACAATACCTTTTATTCTCACCGTTCCCAGCAGGTTTTGAAAGGAATGTCATCACAATTCCCCACTGAATGCTCTCGATGACATAATCGGTTTTAGCCATGGACGGCTGCCGTACTTGGCTGCATCTCTCTACCGCCATGTGCAAAACCCCCTGCTGCGACAGTCTTCCTAATTGTGTCCAGCAAAAATGCTCGCTGGTTATCGTTAGTATGGGGCAGGCTGGAGCGCAGCAGCTCGACGGGCACCTGCGGCAAAGCAAGGTACCAGGTGAGAACTTTGGCAGCACAGAGCACACACTCGCCAGTAGATGCTGTCTCGGCAGCAGGCAAGCATCGCAAAGCTTTATGGAGCTGTCCGTCCCTCCTCGTGAACTTCTGAGCGACTTTTCAACCCTGAACCCCTAAGGAGCGGCCTCGCGCAGCGTGGCCTCACCTCCGCCCCGATTGCTGCTGCAGCCGCCGCGTTCATGCCCCCCCCCGCTTCTGCAGCTGCTGCAATGGCCTCGAACTTGGCGCTGCAGTGCTTGGCCAGTAGCCCGAAAAAGGAGTCGAAATTGGACTGCCAGATCTCCTGCGCCATGGCCGAGGGCAGGGCGCCACCTTCATGCCCACTGAGCAGCACCGAAGCACGGTCCAGCACCGCCAGAAGCACCACGGTGGCGCCGTCCCCGTTCACGCTCCGCAGGGGCCGGAGTGGGGGGTACTCCACTGCGCCGAGGGCGGTGGCTAGGCACGCGCTAAGGGCGGCCAGGTCCAGGCTGCTGATGGCCGCGGCAACAGAGCCTGCAGCAAACAGCAGCAGCACGGCTTGAGGGGCAAGGGACTAGTCGTCCAATCGAAGGTGTCCAAAAACACCGACCATGGACTTCGTCAGGGAAACAGGCGCGGGTGGTCCTCTACTCCAACTCTAAACAACACAAAAGCAGACAGAGATCAAGGGGGCTCGAACAAGGGGCACTAGCGGACCTGCAAGGCTGGTAGCTGTGCCCGGATCAGCGTGTGCGCCGCCAAACAGGAAGCGCAAATGGCGCATGATGGCCAGCACGACGGTGCGGGAGAGATCGGAGCCACGCGGCAGCAGCTGCAGGTAGCGCGCAATCAGCTTGCGGCCCTTGGGCAGCGACACCAGGCGCAAGAACACGAGGTCGCTCAGCTCGCGCCCGCCGCCGTGGTCTGGGAAGGCAACAGGTAGGGGGAGGGTCAGGAGGAATGGCCGCTGAGGAGCCTACCAACTTGCAAGTACAGAAGGGGACCATCAGTGTGGCAGTAAGAAGCAGGACATCCCTCGAACGCTGTCGGAGGAGGGCGGCAGCGTGCGTACCTGCTGCGTCGGAAAGCTGCAAGGAGGCAGCGAGGCCCTCGAGCAGGATCTGCTTGCGGCGCCGCAGCTGCAGCCCGCCGTCAGGGGGCTGGGAGACGGCCAGCAGGCGGTTGATGTCGTCCACATCCTGCCAGACCCAAAACGCCACCGCAGCAGTAGCATGAGTGGGGCAGCACGCCGCTAATGGAAATCCAGCGCAAGATGCGGCCAGCTCCACTGAAACCCCATGAAACCCTCCAAGCCAAAGCATTGGTAATCTTGCCGAGCGCTACAACGAACCGCATTGGTGACCACATACGGCGACCCCTGTGCAATAGATTGCAGCAGGCTGCCAGCCACCATGCCTGACTGGTGGACATGAGCAGCGTGATGCCTCGTCGCAGCCTGCGAGGGCTCACCAGGAGCAGGCACATGCCGTCCTCAATGGCGATCCGCGCTGCCAGCATGGGCTCCTGCTCCAGGGGCCGCGGCGGCGGCGGCGTGAGGGTGTCGCGGGAGCCATCCTTGTTGGAGGGGGGGGCACTGACCTCCAGCAGCGGCCGCGGGCGGCGGATGGACGAGAAGGGGATGCGGCCCAAGCCCTCCACCTGGGCATGCAGAGGCGCACGGGTAAGAACGCCGCACACCGACGGAACAGCGCAGTATGGTTGGCGTATGCGCGAGGGGGGGTCGTTTGGCCAGGAAGGCAGAGCGCAGAGAAGCACGAGGAGGATTGCACCGGCGCGGACTGCGCTGGAAGGGGTAAGGTGACGCATGTAGAGAAGCTGCTGGCTCCGCCCTAGTGAGCGGACAAGCTGATGAAAGCTCGCTGAAACTACAAGTATCTGACAACAATCGCGATGTTGACACGGAGATATAAGCGCTTGCACCCAAAAAGATCGCCAAAAACTGTGCTTATCAGAAAACGACATGCATTGACAACACAAAAGTTATTCCCTGAATGTTGGAGGTACAAAGAACGACTTATCAAGTCACATTCAAAGAAAAGATGAACAGAGGAGTTGAAAGTCAGGAGCCAATGCAGATGCTCAAGCAGAACAACTCTCAAGTGTTTGCACAGCATATCGGTGGCCCGCCTACTGGCAGACAGCTGCTAGAGATGCTATGCACAGAAGGCCCGTTGGAAGGACACACACTAGACCGAATCTGCATTTATCGTTTCAATGTAACTTTAGGCAAAAGGCCCGTGACGAAGACTGCCCTCCTCGAAGCAGCCCCTGACTAACAACTGGCCTAACCCATGTGCCTGAGGCTGCTTGATGCCTGGCGCGCCTTACCTGCAAGAAGGCGTGGGGCTCCGCAGTGGCCTTCCCCTCGCGCAGGTGCGAGGGCGCAAAATGGCGGCGGCCATGCGGGGTGGCGGCGTCGGCCTTGGCCTGGCTGGCCTGGTGGTAGTAATCATCGGTGTATGGGTCCTGCGGGTGCGTCGCGCTCCACTGCATGCGAACGATTGCCTCCACCTCCTCGTGGCTCACGTACTTGGACCTGTCCGACCGCAGCGCATGCTCAGGCCAGCGCGAGCAGGCAAGCAACAAGACAATGCAACACAAAATGCTGCATCAAGAAGGCCTGCCATGCCATTCGAGGGCCGCACTCCTGAGGGACAAACGACACATCTGCATCGCAAAGCAAGCAACTCTTTCGAACAGTC